CTTATTTAAAAACTATAAAATATTTACAAGTGAATTATATATAATTATACTTCATAGTTAGGAGAAACTCAACTTAATTAGATAAATTGTTCAACTTAATTAGATAAATTGTTTTAGTTTGGATTTAAAGAGATTAAGATTAGTAGATTGTTTCAATTCAATAGGTAAAGAGTTCCAAATCTCGTATAGTCGTTCTCGTAGTCGCTGCTTAAAGCTCCTTATTGACAGTAACTAGACGAGAGATGCGTGCAAGATAGGGCGAGGCACTGAAATGCTATATAGCTGATGGTACATGCATGTTCTCAGGGTCTACATGCATTTATGTTTGAATCTTTAGAGACACTGGATAAAGTTCAACCTCGCATGCATATATGAGTCACGATTTAGGAGCAGTTACTATTTTTAGATTTTTTGGGTTAGGACATGAAATTTTAACCCAAATTTTTGACAAGGCCATATAGAATCCTACATGACCATAAAATCCTGACGAAAGGGCACCCAAAGCCGAAGCTTATGCTGTAATGAAGAATGATAAAAATAATGATTAAAATCAGAATTATTCATTTAGATGTTTCTCGATCACAAGTTGAAGTCGACAAAAGAGCGGAGGAAGAAAGTGAAAAATTAACGGTAGGCGTCACCGATTTTTTATCCGAGATTTCCCTGCGGACCATTTGGTCCTTGAAAAATGTTAGGTTAGCAAAAAATATTTTGGAGGCAAGGAGAAAGAACAAAAAGACAAAATGAATGAATGAAATGAATGGACTAAATTGGAGTGGCAAGTGTGGTCAAGTTTAACAACTTAAACAAAATTAGTAATAAATAAATTAGGCCATTTAGACTGACTTAATAGCTTATGACATTTAAACTTCGTTTTCCTTGCCTAGTGACCCACATTCCGGAATAAATTGCCACATGCCAGACAGAAATTCTTTTCTGTCAGAGTGGTTAGAGAAATAACTTTTTCAGTCTTTCCCCCAAATTAGGATGAGTGTTTCATAATTCTGCTTTGGTTTCAGTTGCAGTAAAGAATGATTAGAACATCCCCCTCCCCCTCAATACGCACACACTTAGTTAAACCACTTATTAACCGCTTATTTTTACTGGCGTTTTTCACTTTCAATAGACTGAAATACATGATCTTTGTCAGTTATTGTCGAACAAACTGGAATTTCTCAATATCAACAAGGATGGTATAAACAAGCTGTTGATAGTCTTGGTGCAAATGGAGGTAAGTTATCAGATCTTAAAGAAAGTTTAAAAAAACTCGTTAATAATTCATGAGGAAAAGACAAAGGAAATCACTGCGGTGGTTTTATACGTGATAAAAAATCTCGTTCTCATTTACATAAACTTTAGTTTTGATTTTCTCGGCTTAGACAACGTTTATTTTTAAAATTACTTCGTCAATTTACTCATCAGATGGGTCGTTTTTTAATCCGTTAATTAAAACACTCGAGCTGCGCTCTCGTGTTTTAACTCTGATAAAACACTGCTACTCGTGTTTTAAATAGTGCATGCAATCTGCAGACATATACGCAGTGTCAGCCAAAGGCCTTATAGTAGGCCTTCGACTTAGTTCAGCTTAAATTTCAGCTCCAGTAAGGATGATTAGCACACCTCGCAGTTATATACTTATGTTTTATCTATTACCAAAACATTTGGTGGAATTTTGGTAAGACTCCTGCTTTATTTAGCGTGTGTAGTAACGAACCAATAACAAGGTTCATACGGGTCCTGGAAAACCTGGAAAGTCATGGAATTTCAATATTCCAAAATCCAGGCCTGGAAATCCTGGAAAATCAATTTTAGTCATGGAAAGTCATGGAAAATTGAAATTTTACATAACATTATCGAAGTATTTTACTTATTTCAATTTACCAGTCATAACAATAATATGAATTGTTATTATATAACAGATTTTTGCAAGAGCGAAGTGAATTTTGTTCTTTTATTATCTCTGTTATCGTTAAAATATTAACGAATTTCAGAAATTCCAGACTTCCAGGTCATGGATTTTGAAAAAAGTGGTCATGGGAAGTCATGGAAAAGTCATGGAATTTTAAAAGGGAGAAGGTGTACGAACCCTGCAATAAACGTGTCCTAAATAGCACATATAATATACACATAATGTTTGCTCCCAAGGAAAATAGTTTTGTTTCCAGAGAATCTCAATGTTCGTCGAATGAAACATTGAGATTCGAGGGAAATAAAACTAAGTATTTCCCGAGGGAACAGACATTAAGTTTGTTGTTAAAGCGCCAAACAAAAATCAACATTCAACAACATTCATACAACAATTGTATTTCGTGACAAAAAGTGTAGAGAGTAAACGAGTTTAAAATTAGAAGAACTTACTTAAACGGTTTCAGCAGCATCTCCTGTTGCCTGTTGTGTATTGTTCTTCTCTTTTACATTCTTTATTTGAACACAAAATTGGAAAATGTGCGAGTTGTGTCGCCATTTTGTTTATGTACGTAGCCGGTCGGGGCAGGTATAATTTTTCATTTGTTGCCCGGCGGGATACATTGCATTTATCAAAAGCTACGTGACCACAAATCAGCCAATCGTGTTTGGTGTTCACCCTAGCTATATAACATTGCTTGTTACCGTAATCTTTGTTTCTTAATTTTCAATGGATAGACAAGAATCAAAGATTGGCGCGAAGGTGGTCTCAGTGGCACGTATATAGTGAAAAAACTACGTGAAGCAGCCGAGGATTTAAGAAGTTACGAACGATCAGCAGTACCAGAAGGATGGAGCTGTCATTGGGACAGGTACTGTATTCGACTGAACACAACTTCTATGAGTCGTACAACTTTCTTGCCATGTGAGATTTTTCAGGTCAAAGAAAAGCCATCTTTTTGGATCTCCAAGAAGTTGACATGTCGTCGAAACTGGGAAATTTTTCATTCTTTAACTTTTCAAGCGTTTGTAAATCGTACGATCAGTTTTTATCCGCTTCGTTATAACGAGATAAAGAGGGTTTATGATAAAACGAGCAGAACGAAAGGAATTATTTTTTATATCGTTCACCTTGCTGCGTGCGTCGCCAGCACTCCAGTGGTTGTTTTTACGAAATGGAAGGCAGTCGATATATATGGTTCAGTGCCATTGTATGAAGTGGGCTTAGACAAAGATAAATTATCAATACAAAGTACAAAAAATCGCAAAAGTTTCATGACTTTTTTTGTAGTCTTGTATATACTTGTACAATGCTCCATGTCATCTTGCAATGCAAGTTTTTGAGACATTTTTTTTCAATTTCCAAATCCTATTGATCATGGTATAAAAACTAAGCAGAAACTGCTTTTATTGTGAGAGTGTATTTAAAATTTATTTATTGAGTTGCAGCGGGGTACTCCCAAATTTACTCCATATATAGATACCGCCCTGAAGGGTATGGATTTTACTTGTTTTTGTCTGGCATTGGAAAAAAAATTACAGTTTGTTCTGCGCTAGAATAGGGTATATTTAAGAGGAGACTTTTTGTATGTTACGTAACACGCGCTCAAAACTAACTAGAATATACCAATTGGTTATGACTGCATAGTAAAAGTTGTTAACTTTTGAACGCTTTTCATCGCAAATACAAAGCATGGAAAAAATTGTCTCTTAATCCCTTTTAGTCTGAAGTTGGGTGTGATTTGTACTTTTTGTCTGAAATAGGTACAAATTTGGGGTCAGGCATAAAACTGGTTTATATTTTTGGTCTGAAATGCAGTAGGGAAATGATTTCAATAGCCTGGCGGCACTCCCCCATCAAAATTTTGGGGAGTACCCCCTCCCCCCAAGATTGAATTTTACTTTTCGTTCAAAGCCAATAATCTATAATCAGCACAACAATCTATACTAGCTTATATCTCAAAAGATCGTATTCATGTGCACGAATATCAAATGAAAGTAGGGTAATATAAGCCTTATTCAGGGGACCGTAAAACGTGAAGTCCCCATTAAGGGTTAATTTTTCAGGCACTTATGAGGGGGTTATTTAAGACGGGGACCTATAATAGGGGGAGGGGGGCTTAATTGAATGGGGGCGTAATGAAGTGGGAAGTTTATTTAATTTTATGCAAAGCCGCATTTGAGAAACGGAGTAATCTAACGTGATTAAACTAACTGGACATTCTAGCCAATTGATAAATCTAAGCAGTTCACATGATGTGTTCCTTTGTTGTCGATGAT